GTACGCGAGGCAACCAGCCATTTGCTTGCCGCTCACGTCACAATATAGAAATGGAACGTTTGAGGTGGGCACGTCAACATATCCATTTCACGGCTAAACAGTGGGGGCCTGTTCTCTTTACGGATGAGTCAAGGTTTTGCAAAGCGAAAGTAGGCGCTATTTGATTTGGAGAGAACATGGAACCTTTTGCCATAAATCAAATATCCGTGAAAGAGAAGCATTCGGAGAAGACAGTGCCTGTGTTTGTGGTGGTATCTCTTTGGGGTGGACGCACAGACCTCCATGCCTTTCCACGTGGAACCGGGAACCCTCAGGACTACATCCTGATGCTTATGGGCACCGTTATGCCGGAGCAACAGGTTTCCTGCTATAGGACGACAATGCTAGACCACACACGGGCTCGCATCATTGATGATTATCTTCAGGAGCAAACAATTCAGAGCATGGAGTGGCCAGCTCAATTACCGGCCTTGAATCCTATCGAGCATCTTCGGGATGCTTTAGGACAGTGATTGCTAAACCGTTGATCGCGAGCTACGAGTAGTTCGCGGGGACATTTTCGGTAGATCGTGTTAACGTTCCGATTGGCTAACCTTGATTCCTCTACTGAGGTGACGCTGACGACAAAAACTGCTTATTTCTCCCGCGCAACTGCCAATGTCAACCTCAACTCATAGTTGATTGCATACGCATGAGATTGCTCACATTATGTTTCTAGGGTGTATATTAGACATTTGCTAATTTAGATAGTCTGTTTTACATATTGGTACTAAGATATGTCTGTTCTAATGATGCCGTGTTCTAGCAAAATGTAGAAAAACTTACCACTTTCATTCGGAATAGGAAACCGATTACTTCTTTACCCAGGTAAAGGACAAAAATGTGTGTTTATTGTGGTATGTAAGTGTATCAGTTGGGAAGAAAAGGAAAGCAGAACGCCATTTCAAAACCGTTCACGCAGGGACTGAAAAGAATTTCCCATTGAATTCTGCTGTAAGAAGTGCAGTGAAGCTGTCTCCACCGTTATTGCCTAACAGTGTGAAGGGTGTGTCGCTGAACGGGTCAACGTGTTTATAACAGTTCAACGACTGTAAAAGTGATTTTGCAGCTGTCCTGATTAATATTGGTAAATAAAGTGTGTTTCGATATTCTATCAAGTGCTGTCGTCGTTATTCACTCCAAATCCACACGAACCCCGTACGAACGTGAAGGAAGAAAATAAGCTAACGAACTGGTGTCAGAAAAGAAAAACGTAACAATATATTTCATTGCTATAATTGTACCATTCTAAGGTAGCTTTTGACAGATCATATTATTTCTTTGTAAGGACTAAGTCATTAATTTTCAAATTATTTTTTTTTTCTCTCTCTCTCTTCTAAAAGTCATCTGTGTTTTTAATTTTCCTTGTGTGTTTCGCTGTTGCTACAGTTATTTTGCTTCTATGTTGTAAAATTTAGTCAATACCATCAGTCATCGAATCACTTCTCAATTCGCATTAAAAGAATATAATACCTACAGTTTAAGTCACTCCAAATCCACACGAACATCCCGTTTATTTTCATATTATCATTAAAAACATCCTTTTTTGTTCATTGTTGGCAGCACTAATTTAAATATGAAGGAAAAACCCCATCTGGATATGAATACAGTAAGATCTAAAGTGAACGAAGGAACGATAAAATTATTCGGTACGTTTAATACATGAAACGCTTGCATAAGCTGAACTTTGGAAAGTCTTAGCGTTGAGAAACTAACCTAAAAAAGGAGCAAACAGTATGAGTGTTAAGAAAACTATACATTGACAAAATTATTCAGGTCTACTGTATTCAGCAAACTGAAGTTACACATCTAAATTTAATAGTTTCAGCAAAAATCTGGAAAGCTTAAAAACAATTTATTACTTCCATCGACATGTCTGTTACAGACGTATATTAAAACGCAAGATTACCTAATAATATCAGGATCTATAGCAGTAGGTTTGTGCTTAGAAAGAACTCCTTTCAAGAGAATGAAGGCACAACAATCCATAGGTGAAACGTCAGAGAACCTTGCTGGAATACGTTGAAAGGGTACATACACAGTACATGTATCAATATTCATATTTGTCCAGGAAAGCAATGGTACTTTTCGAAATATGACTTTTTGCTTCATCTAGATGAAATTTCATTCTTTGAAAACCAGGGATAAAGAAATGGAATTTCTTCTGAAAATATAGGACTTAAAATTTTCTCTTGACAGTACGTTGAATTGATTTTAACATTTTTTTAACTCATCTTATTTTTAATTTCTTATTGCAAGAATTCTGCGACAATCACAAACTCCTTGCTGAAACTTTCTTTCCATTGACGGAACTAGATTACTATATTTTTTCTCTTCGTTTTTGATAAGAAATAGGCCTTTTTTTAATGCAGTCATTTAGGTAAGCCCACGCTTCATCAAGGATCACAATATATTTCCATTTATCTACTCCTAAATAATTTTCATACGAATTTCTATAAACTGTTCTATGTTGAGCCATATGGTTTCTAGTAGGTTTAAGCTGTAAATCTTCGTTTATTATTTTATTCAGTATTGGCTACAGATTTACTTAGACTTTGCAACCGATTTCTGCGTCGGCAGATTTTTTCTGCTTACCAAAGTTTTACCTTTTTCAGGTAGACGTTTGGAGACTTCTTTCCATGTAGAAGTAACGACTGGCGGTTTTTCTCATTCCAATTAATAATGTTGCTTATTTTGCAGTTAAAAATTTCAATACCATTCATATTACGACATTTTTTAAATTAGAAATAAGAACATTTCTCTTTGGAAAGCGCAAAAACATATCCTTCAATCCACAGCATGTTTGCGTGGGTCATTTTGAAAGAAGAATAAATTTATAATAGTTAATATTTTTCATATCAAATAATAAGCTGTTGTCAGGATTTTTTTTTTTTCCTAAACACTTGCAAGCGGCCGAGTGAAAAAGTCGCCGAATGCTGGCAGTTCTGTGCGAGGTTCGAATCCCACGAACGGGCTGTTTGCATGGGCGTTTTAGTGATTTCTCCCGTGTAAAACGTGAATACGAGCCTGTTTCAGATGTGGTCGAATGTCCTTCACGAAGGCATCTTTCACCTTAGGCAGGTAGCTCTCGAGTGCTTTGCCTAAATCAAGTAAAGCTAACCTAAACATTTGCTTTTGTAAAATTTTTTATTGAAATCCTTCTAAAAATGTGTAAACAGCCTTTGTACGTATCCCAAAGTTAAAAGTATTGTTCCTGTGTGAGCTTGCTTACGAGAGTTTGAGTTTGGTTTAGTTTATGTGATTACAGCAAAACACTTGGCAGCTATCCGCCTAAGAGAAGGGATGCCTTCGTGGAGGCTTTTTAAGGGAAGCTGGCTCATATACACGTTACACGTTGAAAAAACCCTGAAAACGCCCATGCAGCCAGCTCAGTCGTGCGATGAGTGTTTGGGAAAACTGCGAACAAGTATGATACCGATGGAAAAGAGTATCAACATTTGTGGAATGCTGATGCTGTTTTCGCTTACTCGGAATAATAAACTGCTATAATCTCATGAATACTAGAAGGAACTGGAAAATCATGCAACAGTATAAAATAACAGTTTGTGACATCAAAGCATGTACTCAATGGATTGTAAAAGAAAGAAAATTAAAAAGGAAGAAGGATGTTAATGTCAATATACAAGAAAAAAACTGAATGCTAAAGAAAATATTCGAGAGAGGTTGTAAAGAGACTAATCGTAGTTCTTCAATAGCTTGCTAAAATCACTCGGCTTCAAGCAGAACTACCTCAAGTTATCTGAGAATGCGATTGGAATTTCCTTCAGTTGGTCTAATTACTCGGACAGTTTGATTCAGAAGTTTACTGCAGAAGCATATCTGAAGAATCATGACAAAGCAAATGACACAAGCTTACCATTTGGGAAAGAAAAATTAAAAATGAAGTTTTTATTTTAATGGTAGCAAATGTTAAAAAGGAAATCAAGCCCAAATTATTTATAGTAGAAAATTATTCGAACATATTTGACTGCACACCAGACATAAACCATAAAGAAAAAAAAACCTTTTTGATTGTAAAATATGCTAAAATAAATTAAAACACTTTCAGACTTAAAGAAGGTTCACTTGGTTTCTGAAATCCAAAGATCGATAGCATTCTTGTTGAACTATTTGAACTAGATTAATCTTCAGCTTAGTAATTGTCGGAGTGAGTGATATAATAGTGGTGCTAATATGAAAAACAAATATGCAGGTGTTCAGTGTAAAAATTTGAATTTGATTAACAGAGCACTGTACCTTCCATGTGGGTGTCTATGCGGGTGTCAGTCCTTAAATTAAATGCTCAGTAATGCTGCTAAATCATCTGTCGATGCAGTATCCCTATTCAGAATCCTCTAATGTATCTATGATCTTTTGTCTAAATCATGAAATAGATGAGAATTTTTCGGTTCTCAGTTTCAAGGTCTAATTTTTAGATCTTCAAATGGAGCAAATCAAGTTCAGTTTGATTTTTAATTACTAAATCACTCTTTATCACAAACTTGGAAGCCAAAGTTAAGTTTGCGAATTTAAGTACTTAAGATTCTAAATAGATAATATTCACGAAGCAGGGACTAAATTTCTAGAACTTAAGTTGAAGAAATTTCTTCCTGCGTTTATTTGTAGTCTTTAGAAAATAATTTTCCTAATTTACGGGTGGACCTAGAGTTTTGACAGTTCCACATTCTGATCTGAAATTTATTTTAAAAAACTCATTTTATTATCATCTTTGTCTTACAAAAGACCCGTATATTTAATTTATTATAATTTGCAAACATTAAATTTTTCTTCTTTGAGTTTATTAAATAAATGTATGTTTTGATTGCAAGTATTAATACGTTGAATATACGAAAAGCACCAACTGTATTATTTGCCTAGAGCGGCGAAAATGCTTAAGCCAACACTGAATGTAGCTATTTGAGCACTGTTTTTATATGAATTTTACTTATGTTTTATTTCAGAACTTATGGCTTATGTGCAAGCGAAAACAATCTATTCATATCTTAACACTGCAAGTTTTAAAACAGCTTCACGTCATCTTCTACTCTGAAGGTTCTGGATTGTCTCTTTACGATATGACGAATGAAGTATTTATGGTATGAAGAATTTGATACTTAAGGCATACGTAACATAGTATATATGGAAATGGGGAAATTAATTCTGCATAAAATTTATAAACAGGATATATATTAAAACTAATAGAGGATGTAATAACAAATCTGTTAATAGATAAAAGTACAATACAGATTCTAAATTAAATATCCATAATTGATCACATTCAAATTTTGCTTGGTATAAGTAGCAGTTAAGAGATTCAGTGCAGTTTGGCACAGTAAGATGCAGATTTCTCTTCAAGTAGTACAAATTCTGTACAAATGCGCTAATTTAATAATTTTCCTTAGTTTAATACCATCTAGCGAGAAACAAAAAAGCATAAAGACAAATCATGAAATTAAACTGTTTGGTAGCGACGGACTGAAATTGGCAGATTATGACAAATATGGGAAACTTTAAAAAAGAAGTTAATTTAACAGTAAAAATTCCATAGATTTACTATTCTAGATATTAAGGGCTGAGAGATCAACAAAATATTGAATAAATTATTATTTTTTTCTTTTTTAATGTAAGATTCACCTTATTTAATGCAAAAACCCAAAGCTCTCTTCTTTTGACCATTGTATAATAAACTAAAGTGGTAAAGACATTATGAATTATACAGCAATCAAATTAAGAGAGCTATGAAAATTCATGCTAAAGGCGGCGTGTTTCAAAAAGTCTGCATTAAAAAATCTTTCCTTACTCTTTATTGTTATTCTGTACAGATATCCTTTGATTTTTTTTCTATTAAAATTAACTAACGCATTCATGGTGATACATAGCACCTAAGCACAGCTGATTTCAACTGTTTCCAACGAACTCCCTAGCACGGGCCCACCAGCGGCTCGGTAAAGCGATGAACACAGGTAGTTCGGTTCGAGTTCAAACCTGCGAACGGGAGCTGGCATGGCGTTTTCGTGCTTTTCCCCATGGTAATTGTACGAGCCAGTATCCCTTAGAAGTCCTCCACGAAGGCATCCTCTCCTTAGGCAGAGCCCTCGAGGCTTTGCCATAATCACACACACACACAAGCTAGCAATCCGATCGGTATTTCTACTCTGCAGCAACGGCTTTAGAAACTTCTGAAAAAATTGGTTGTAGGGTTTCGAAAATGTATTTTCTCGAATCTTCTCGAAAGTCGCCAAATTGGCAGGACAAATGTCTGCAACTTCGCGACAAATATTTTCGTCAAGATCTCTCCCTTACGTAGAAAATTTCTTATAAGTTCTAATTGAGTCATTTTTCCAACTCCAAATCCGTTGCACTCAGAATTAGAAGATCTACAATTCTATGCAACATACAAATATTCAGGTACAAGATATGTGGCCACAAACCAGACTAAACCCAAATAAATCCCAAATCACCATTCTAAATACAATAAATAAAACAAATCAAACAATACAGAAGGTAACGTTACAATAAAAATAATTAAAACATTTACAGATATTTACAATAAATAGTAATTTTATCTTCAAAATATTCAAATAAGTTTGCCCTGTTAAGCCCACTAATCAAAAAGAGAGTAAATATTAATTAAAACTCCGTTAACAAACTATGTTTGCACAGACCAAAGTAGTTACGAAGCAGAAGTCATGCAACTTATAATTGGACAAAAGTTCACCCATTATAAGAAGAAAATACTAATATCAGACAGTTTTCAAAATCTGTAGTATATTTTCACATTCATTATTTCAGGGAAAAAAAATAAATTCTCATAAGTAAACTGAATTCATTCTAAGGTAAAGTTTATTTTTTCTTGAACAGTCCATTCTGTCAGTAAATTACTCTATTGAGAAATGTTGTTGACTTAAGAACAAACAAAATCTTAAGCTTTTTGACTAAACATGGAGGTTTTAAGACTAACATTTTCGATCTGAGTAACGACCTGGCTTCGTAAACAAAGGTAATGAATTTTGAAGAATTTCTCTGAACGATGACTGATATGGTTTCAATCAATCTCTGTGTTATGTCGAAGTGGACATTTAAGACATGATGATCAAATCAGGTTGCAAGACATTCCATTTTATTCCAAGTGGCTCATTCAGTACAAATTTTCACGTCACGCATAGTTCTTGTATTGGTTATTTGTTGAGCTAGCTTATTATTCATGCAGAACGTCTCAAAACTTCACTGTTAATGGATGAATGTCCTGATTTTTGTCAAATCGATAGGACAGAAACCGCAACAAACAAGCAATAAAAGTACATAAAAAGAAGTAAGTGAAGTGAAATAATATCATCGGTGAAAGCAAAACTGTGAGCAAA